GATGCATGCCAATTTTCAGCCGCATCGAAGCAAGTTTTTTTTCGGCCGCCATTTTGATTTTTTTTTATTCAGGCAGTTGACCACTATTACCCTCTACGACATTCCTTCCAGCACCACCTACCTATCTCTAATAGTTTCCGTGATAGAAAGCTTCGAAATTTGTATGGATAAGATGAAGATAAAATAAGATGCGTCCATCTTATTTATTTGTATTCAAATAAATAAGATGGACGCATCTTATTTATTTGAATTGTACATGATCTATATATGTGGAACACCTTTTTCCGACCATTGCATGAAATAAACTATTTTAAGGACACGCGCTTATAACCTTTTCCATCAAAACAATGAAAAATACTGACATATGAAGAGGACGTATGGTGGCCCCTTTGCCTAATTACTCAAATAAATGGCGGAAATTTATAAAAAAAAAAAGAAAATATTTACAATTTTCATTTCGCCATAACTTCGTTATGATAGAGGTACAAATTCTTTAAGAATAAGTACTAAGTAGTACAATTTTGGTACATTTTTTTATGCACACGCCACTCTGAAATCTCAACATGTTTTGTCTTATTTCTCAGAAACTAACCAGCAGATCGACTGGAGGATCCTTTACTTTAGAGTACTATTGGTACAAATTTTTGGAATAAGAAATTTTTATAGTTATTAAATAGTGGTAATTCGAGGTACACCCGCCATTTTGACAGTCAATACGGCGGGTGTACCTTTGATATTGCCAAAACTTCATTCTGATGGAGGTACAAATTTTTTAAACAAAGGTACTAAATAGCACAAATCTGGTACATTTTTCGATACCAAATTTGTCAGGATCCGTTAAGGTACACCCGCCATTCTGACTCTCACAATATGGAATATATTATTCTGTAAAGATTACCATCTAGTATTATACCTACTTACCACATTTAAAGCAATAAATTATTTGATTTGATTTGATTCTGAATTTGTAAGTTTTCCATCCCATCCCCACCGCAACTACTCAACTTCTCACAGAAAAATAATTTCGACTTTAAATAATCGCCATCTGTTGATTTGTGAACCACCTTACGGGTTAACAAGCTATTTCGATGTTATTAGAAATCGGAATCCTTTAAAATAAGCTCCGCCCACGTCCCCCCGTATGATTGCTCGCTTGCGTCATTTGCTAGATGGCGTGAGTAAAGCTTTGCGAAAGATTGTAGGATTTGTAGGTCGTTTGCTCGGAGAAGCGCCTTAATCACAGTTGTGTTTCTTAAAACCCTTTGGTTTGACTTTTCAATGCCTAACGCGAATGTCTCGTTCCTTATTTTCGCTATTTGTAACTTTTTTTTACCAGCTCCCCTAGGACCTGGTAGAATCATCAGCGTCGTAGTTCGACTGAACTGCGGCATAATGCTGAGTCGGGCCCTTTTTGCTGGCACGGTACACTCAACTCTACACCTGATACAATATAACACTGCAGACCATACCCGCAAAACCTAGACTAGCCTTTTTCTTTACGATTACCATTGTAGCTATGTCATAAGCTTGTTTGTAACGTACTGTGATTCAGCAAATAAACGAGTAATCTGTCTATCTGTCTTGATTTGATTCGGTCGGTGTTAATTAAGTCGTGAATAGCGGTTCGAAGTGTCCTGTTTTAGGTAATTATTTCTTCATCGTTGCGCGGAGGGGAACAGCACCGGCAGCGGCTCAAACGGTGCGAGCGCAGGCACGGCAAAGACACGACAAGTGACGCGTGCACAATGTTAATTACTAAGATCGATATAAATGATAAGAACTACATTAAAAGGTCAGGTTATTGTATAATACATAAACCCTACATGTTATTAAAAATACTACAAAAGATTATACAAAAAAGTGTCAATCATCTGAAAATAGGAATTCCTATGAATAAAAATGGAAGTAAATTAATTTGCTACTCCGCGAACCCAGTGAAGGTTAAATCGTGCAAAATAGCTGCGCTTGTGCTGAATATTTTTTCATGCACTTAATTATCCCTCCCTCATTCCGCATAAAATTAATAAAATAAATAACACAAGCGCAACTACAGTCCGAAACCACCACCAAAAATATACCCGACACGTGTTTCGCCTTCCACGAGGCATCCTCAGGGGCTGTTGACTGCTCGACCCTCGGCCGAAGTGTAAGCTCGTTCATAATGTTTGGTGTATTTATACCTAGAGGTGGGCGTTTAAACGAAAAGCACTTAAAAAGTCTGCTTTTTAAAATAAACGCATAAGCGCGCTTTTCATTTAAAGCATAAGCGTTGGTCACTGGTCAATTCTATAGGTACTCAACCATTTCATTTTTTACAACGTGCCTAAGTGTCAAGTAGGGCCATCTATGTTTCCTAAACAAATTAATTCAACATAACGTTGCAAGCTTTTTTAAACATGAAGTCTATGCGCTTAAACGTTTTTCTAAACGACTTTTTAAGCGTCAAATTAAAAAGCGTTTAAGTGAAAAGCGCTTTTACAAGCACGCTTTTTAAACGTACGTTTTAACGTTAAAAAAATAAGCAGTTTTTTTCCATTTCAACGGTTATCAACTACAAAAGTGAAACAACTTATATTTTTGAACGCTTTTAAAAGCCAATGAACAAAATGTTATATAATATAATAATGTTATGTCATAAATGAAAATATAACTAATTTTTTACAAAATAAAAAATACTTATATTAAAACCTTTAGTGGTCTACTCTTGCGTTTCGCTATCAACACAACGTTGCAAGCTTTTTTTAAACATGAAAGTCTACGCGCTTAAACGGTTTCTAAACGATTTTGTTAACTTCAAACTAAAAAGCGTTTAAGTGGAAAAGTGTTTGAAAAAGATGGAAATAATTAGATACAACAACAGGGGTTGTATAATAAATGAACAATTGAATTTTGCATCATCACTTTTATTACGGGTGTTTTCGGATTTCAACAACAGCAACACTGGGGGTAGCGGGGTATAAATACACCAACCGTTCTGAACGAGCTTACTCTTCGGCCGAGCGTCGAGCAGTCAACAGCTTCTGAGGATGCCTCGTGGAGAGGCGATAGCACGTGTCGGGTATATTTTAGGTGGTGACACACGGACATATGTCAAGACTAAATAGACGCCACAAAAGTACGTACTTCGCCTGCCCAAAGTAAGTGAAATTAACTTAGTTGCCGCTGTTACACTTCAGAACGCACTCAACCGTTATCGTAGATAAACACCAGTAGAAAACGCGAAAAATGCATAAATGTGCCATTATAAATTGTTAAAAACAATTATTTTGATTTCGTATGAAATTCCAGAAAACAAATATGTAACAGAGTGTATGCCTCATGTTTTGTAATACATTGCGGCTTTTGCTTGGGGTGATATATTTGTGATCCTTTGTTAATACGTCATGAATATCGAACAAACGCACATTTGTATAATGCATTCAGTTTCGTGGTACGGCCGCTTGTACATTTCTTTGGCCAAATTTAACATTTAGTGATGTATACGTTAGGCAAACACAACAAAAGGACACAAAAAGGATAACAAAAGGACGAAAATTATGACTCTGACTTAGCAATATTATAAAAATATTCTATATACTATAATATCTTTTGTATAACGTTTTACTCTTTAACTTTTTTTAACTACTCTTTTGTTATAACGTTTCGTTTTTCAGTTTTGTAATATCTATTATCAGTAGTATCTGTTATTTAGATAATTTTTGCAGCACGTTGCCTCAAATGTCCGAATATAGTGAGCAAATAATTACATACATCGCCGGATATGTAGTAAGTACGAGTAATACAAAGAAATATATAATGCAAAGAATTAACAGTACGCTGTCTTTACAAAAACCGAGTTGATCATATGTATGAGTTCGTTGCTTTCGAGGACGAAGGTGGTCTAGTTTATTCCACCTAAGATGCTATCCACATATGTCGAGTAGCAGAGTTAGAAATCCGGGAAATAATAAACAAATCACAAAAATTTCACACGAGGTCATCATTAAGTAAACCTGTGATAATAAGATTTTACCATATTTTGTCAGCAGTAACATTTTCATTTGTCTTGGCATTCATCAATTTGCTCAATTACCAACAGATAACCATCTTGTAAAATTAATTAAGGCAGTCGCAAGTTCATATATTGACATGCGTATTCATTATCTTCAACTGCCTCCGTGGCCGAACGGTTACCATGCCGGACTGCCACGTAGAGGTCCCAGGTTCGATTCCCGGGCCGGGCGAAATATTTGTATGACCTACATTTATTTCTCTCGTGAGTTTGGGTGTAATTTGTGGTTGTCTATGTGTGTGTCCATGGCACCCGCGACACAGGGTTTCCCTAGTGCGGGGCTATGTTGAGTGTGTGCGTTATTAAAAAAAAAAATTATTAATATTTTTTTAATATATTATTTAAGTTAATCAATAAGGTCTTCAATTACAAAAAGATGTTATATAATAAGCTCATTTTATGGGAAGGACAATAATTTCATTATTTGAAGTCGATTAAAAATTAATCGTATTTTTTTTAAGAAATCAAATTTTTTTTAAAACAAGTAAAATAAAGACATAACTATCTTATTCTAGTATTTTTCTACTATATTATTATTACGACTGCTTGTAATCCACATATACTTGAACAAAAATTATTATATTTAGAATTGATTAATCGAATGGAATACGCATGTTTACATGTATTCCGTTCAATCAATCGATTTAGAGCGAGCGGAAGGAAGTTTCCATCACTAAATAGCTCTTGTGACGTCATAATGGGTACAAAAAAACGTGGCGCGCTTGGTTTTCGTACAAATTACTGTACTTGCGGCGTCTATCTAGTTATATGTCTGTGTTTGTGACTGTAGTTGCGCTTGTGTTATTAATTTTATGCTGAGTGAGGGTGAAATAAAGTATGAAAAAATATTCAACACAAGCGCAGCTATTTTGCACTATTTAACCTTCACTGGGTTCGCGGAGTAGCAAATTAATGTACTTACATTTTTATTGACATGGACTTCCGCAAAGTAACGCCTGAATCTATTCATTAATTCCTATGAAGTTTGAATGTGTAGTAGAAGGCCGGAGCGGAGTCGGAGGCGCGTAAGACTGGTACATACCTTGTAATGCGTGTAGGCGCCGGGCGGGTAGGGCGGCTGCCACAGAACCAGCAGCGTGGTCTCGTTACGGAACCACACGATGAACTTGCCCGGTGTATTCGGCTCTGACAACATACACACAAGCAAGCTGACAACATACCCGCACCTGAGGGAGTCACACTTAAACAAGCATTTACAAAGAACAAAGCTCAAAGCTACAATGAATTTTATTTCAATAGTCGCTTCTGATTTTATGTAAATCGAATTAGGATAAGGCGGAGGACGTCGTACCTCGCACCCACGAATTAAAACGAAAGACACCGACGTACAAAGTTCTCGTCTCGCCATCGTTCAAATGAACCCAATATTTTCATAATATTTATTACACGGGTATGTCGCATAAATTCGTGGTCGCTGGGGTATTTCCCTCCCAGCACAAAATGGGCAATACCATACGTAGAAACACTGGATTATATAATTTGCATTCACAAAACGGCACATAATTCATAAAAATGTAAATGGCTCCCCGTGTAATCTTCGCTACAAAATGTTGTGGACGGATATTATTTCTATTTGTAATTAATTATGTATCGTAACTATTATTGATACCTCGAGTTCACAACACTAACAGCAACATAAGAAAACAAAAAGTGCACGACGACTGAGCTGGAAAGCAGGAACAAAAAGAAGTCGCAATCGGTCACTAAGAATAAGCATGCAATGCAAGAAGCGGCGCGCTGTACGCCCAGAGTTTTGTCTTACCGCTCATGAGCGGCGTCGGCGGCGGCAACGGCTGCGGCGAGCCGGGGCAGCGTGGTACAAAAGTCGGCATTTTAAAAGACAGACTTGGTTAAAAGTTGTTGGTCGCATCTGATGAACAGCAGAAACCACAACCTAACCATAATTCTTTGAGTGGCAGCATTACGGTACTACATTGACTGTAATTACAAGTGTGCGCGGCTGCTATTGTCAAGGTGCACTAGTACGGCACTACGATGGCATTTAAAAACGTAGTTAATTGCATATTAGGAAAGCCGCCTTGTTTCAACTCGACGTCGTAGTAACGTCACCGCTTTTTATTATTTAGCCTTGAAGTGACCCTTAATGAACAGCAATACCTAAACTAGTTATCCTATTTGCTAACCTGTGTAACATGACTAGCAACACTAACCTGTCGGGTCACGACATATTGAAACAAGGTTTCAGTTTCTGGAGTTTATTTCGACCACATAAATAGCATAATTCACCGTTCAGGATGTACCTAATCGATAAGCGTTATATTAGAGCAAATGAGAATGAGCGGTGAACGGCAGTGGCAACCGCGCCTACGGAAGTTCGTTTGACCTTGAGCTAGTAGATAATACATAATAGATGGCACCTGGCGACGGCGACACGACTACGACGCGTCGCGCCGCGCACTTCGGTGATGGCCACTCGGCATTTGCATCAAAATGCTTTTGTTTGGTATATTATGGATATTTACACAAGTGTTCTCAACTTTACAAATTCTAAACAACAACTAATGGTAAGGACCATTGAGTATGGAGCCAATCCTTCACGTGCCAAATGTGACAATTTGTAAAATTTTGTAGGCGGTTGGGCACCCACAATATTCCAGCGTCCCTACTAGGCCTGTACGGCCAATGTTGCACACCTGTTTATCTCAATGTTGCAGGTACTTTGAATTGGTTCCTACTTCTTAACCGCTCTACGTATGTATGTACACTGACTTTCGTAAGCCCGAATGTCTGAATAGGAACCAAGAATATGGGTACTGACTGGTGGTGAAGTTGCGCGAGGCATAGGCGGCGCTCTCTTTGTCGTGCAGCAGCGTGAAGGCGTGAAGTTGATAGGTGGCGCCAGGCGAGAGGTCGCGCAGGGTGTACGTCCAGTTGCCGGCACCCTCCACAGAGATGTTGCGCGCGCCGCCCTCGGCGCGCTCTGTCAGCGGGATCACTTTGAACCGGAAGCCGGTGTAGTCGCCGTGTGCCGGCGGCGACCACGCGATCGTCGCCTGCTTGTTGCGCCCCAGCGTCACCGTCAGGTTGGTCGGCGGCTCCGGTGCTGGAACACAATGCGCGTTCACATCATGACTGCATGACGTTTTAGATATGTACCTATTTGAATAGTCCGAGCTTGATACCTGTGATGATGGTCTGATTCCAGGTGAGTAGATCGGCGAACGTGGCGTTGGAGTAGTAAAGCATGAAATGGTATTTGGTACCGGGTAAGCCCTGGAAGTTAATAGTGGAGGCCCGCGCGGGCACTGTGTGGTTTGGCGGCGGGCTGCCGTGCGGCGGGCGGTAGTCGAGTCGGTAGTGGCCCTCCTCGGCGCCGCCTTCCAGTCCCGAACTCGGGATCTCGATCACGAGGTCCGCGCCCTGCGCCTGCCCCAGCACGCTCTATAAATACACCATAGATAACGATCTATGTGGTTATTATTGTCATATATCCAAGTTGCATGGTCAAAATCCAAAATGATAACTTTTAGTGCAATTGTACGTCATAAAAATTGAAGTAAATGAATTACTCATTTGTAAGTCGTATTAGATTCATGTATATCTGACAGACACATTAATTATATAAGTTTTAAATTATTAAATCTTGTTGAACTTAGCAATTAAAATTCAAAAACAATTTAACAAAATATTTTTTTATTTTTTGCATGTTATAATAAAGGTACAACAAGTACAACAACGAACTTAAAGATCGTCAATGAGTTTTCTACAAAATAGACAGAAAAAATGTCATTAATCACGCTAGTACATAGATAGGGCAGAAGGAGTAACCTTTGGACAGGGTCAGCTTAGAACAAATGCGTTTGCGCAGTCAGTTTGAATGAAAATACGTAGCACAGGCATATATCTATACATATGTCTGTGATACATAGGAATTATGTTTATAATATGGCAACACCGAGCCTCCACCTGTCAGTATGCACGCTTCAAAATCTGAATGAGAGGTCGTATTTAGTTTCAGTTTTCTCAAAAATAGTTGTAAGGATATTACTGGAAGAATATAGATAATGGTGAATTGAACTTTGCTTGTCGTATGGATTGTTTTATTGCTAAAATATTAACCTATAGAAATATAAACCTACGTTTGAGTCTTTTTACGCATGAAAAATATTTGTTATTTTGTAGAGTATCCACTGGGGCAGATTTGAACAAATCAAAGGGGGCAGCTTTGAAGACATTTAGAGGTTCTGATTAGCTTCCTCTACTAATATCTTGAAAATAAGATTTGTAAATTTTTTTCAGTTGTATTTATCTGTTTTGTACTGTTATAATAACCTTTTATTTAATAATTAATTACATAAGAAGTTAAATTTTTTTTTTTTTTATATTGCAATTAATAATTTAAACTTTGATTGAGCTTGGGTTCTGACCAAACTTTTTTTATAATCCTGTGATTATAGATTTAACTTTTTTTTAAAATTATATTGTACAAGATTTCTTCTGTCTTGCCGTTTCGCAGTCAGCGTTTCAGCCATTTAAAACGTTTGGCCCACTCCCTGTGCGAGTGTGGTCTGACAGAAGGACCCTCGAGCACCTGTTTTTTTTACTATAACCGTATTTTCACTCCTCTATATGATATCCTCCCCCTACATTCCCCCGTTTCGTTAATATGTGTGAGTCTCACGGTGGTTTTCTATTTAAAATCAGTGAATTCTGTCGAAATTCACCGGTCAATTTTTGAGTAAAAACGCGTGTGATGCACAACTTGACATTGGCGAAATCATCGATTACTTCGATGGCGCCATAACATTTAAAAGAAGGAGAAGATTGTAACCGTATTTTCATTCCTCTGTATGATATCCCCCCCCCCCCCCTAAAACCCCCGTGCCGTTAATATCAATTTTCTCCTAACGTTCGTCCACTCTCCCTTTGTGTAAAGAAAGAAAGAAAGAAAGAAAAACGTTTATTCGCACATTTAAGTCACTTTACATCCCTAAATTATAAACATAACATTAAATTGATAGCTATTTATTAAATAATCTATAAATAAGAATGCAAAGTGACACAAAAGAGGAAAAGGAGACGACTCAGCAAAAAGTCTATCTCTGGCGAGAGAGACGCTGATTTTCAGTGTATGTCCTGAGTAAATTTCTTTTTTATTAAAATATTATTATTAAAAAATTGTTTCTGTAATATGATGTATATAATATGTGTAAGTTCTCTGTTGTTGTAGATTCCTCTCTCAGTGATTTTTGTCGAAATTCAATGGTCAAATTTTGAGTAAAAAACGCGTGTGTGTGTCCTAAACTCGACATTGGCGTAATAAGGGCGAAATCATCGATGAAGCTATAACGTTGCTATAACATTATAAAGCAGAAGAAGAAGAAGAAGGCTTGTTTTTAAAACGGGGAAACTTATTTTATCACATTAATTAAATTAATTTGTATGAATTTAATACAATTGTAATTGAATGTAAAGTTTAATAATTTGAATATGATTTACGCAACTTAAATCTTTTCACTTTAAAATTTATTGTGATGGAAGTAATGTCAAACTGGCGTGTATGTCTAATCCTTAGAGGATGGAAAAAAAAAAGAAAGGAGCTGCCCCACGGAAGAACGAAAAGAATGGAAATGGCATCAAGCAACATTTGTATCAAAACCGATGTCGCCACACGCCTTAGACTATGAAAACTAAAGGACATGTTATGTTGACATATATAAATCAGACGTTATTTGTATGTGATGCATTTCGACGTTAAAAACATAAACATGTTATTGTCTTTGTTTAACTCTTGCATGCCGTCTTAAGCCAAAAGAGATAGCATTACATCGGTCTTTGTCAAACACGGGAATCGAAAATACGTAACGTCATCTTAAATGCCAACCGTGTCCATTTCGCAGTACTTGAGGTACATGATACGGTTGTCAAAGAGAAGTACATCCAAAGCCAAAACAAATGTTTTCCAAGTGTTTTATTGAATTATTCGCATGTATTGTGATAAAATGGACAAAAATGTTGACAGTGAGAACAATTAAGTATTGATAAAAATTCGTCGCTACAGCATTACGGGATGTAGCATTTGAAAAAGCGAAGATCGACCGAATGTAACCTTGTACAGACACGTGTTATTTATCTGTCTATAAATCACCCAAAAGCCCAAATATCTCATGTGATTAGACATATTTAAGTAGTTTATTTATAAATCTTGCCAAATTTTGCTTTGGTTTCTTCAGATTGCCTGTTTGTTTATATATTTTGATGTAAATCATGCCTGTGATAAAACTAAGAACTCGAACGGATGAAGGTGACGTATAATAAGCAAGTAGGGAGATAGGAATCATGTAGATAAGGGAAAGAAAATCTCCAATCATAAAGTCTTCATGTGATACTCCACGAGCTTACGTGCAATGCAAAATTATCGATACTGTACCTCTTTTATCTATATTTCCTTTTTTTCCATTAATATATCGTTTTTACTTAAATTGAAAATTTAAAGAAACTATTGCGAGTGTTGGGACCAAACATTTAAGAGGGAGCAGAGGAAGAATGACTAATCTTCGATTTGATTTTAGAGGAGTAAATACACTTTAAAGTTAAAAATAAAATATTGTACGAGTAACTACACGATATATTCAAGCATAGACGTTAATCAGAAACGGAAAACAATAAAGTTTCCTCAATAGATAAAAATCACGAAAGCACATCTAATTTTCACATTTTCGATTTATTCTCGAAATGCTACGGGTTATTAGGACAAAAATTAGATAATTAATTATATTTATGCATGATAGAATAATGTCGTCACGGATTTTTTTTAATCCCTTTAGTTTTAGAGTTATTCCGTTAAAACGAATTTCGAAGCTTCTCAATGAACCCGTTTTTTGTCGTCATCACGACCGTTGGTGATAGAGGACAGACCAAGGACGATCATAACTGCATCTCGCCTTGTCCGCGGCGGACCTATATCAGTTGTATCCAAATTTTCCGTTATGTGTCTTATTACGCCTTGGAATATAATAAAATTAATTTGAGTACAATCGTTTCTCAACTTCCAACGTAATTGGAAAACTTTTACAGTTAAAAAGTGTAATCTCGCACCCAGATAGGGTAAGTGTTGAACAAACGTATGTTATATGTATTAGGCAGTGTTTAGTCCTAAGTTAGTGCTTGTCCGCAGCCTCTTGGTTGTGCATTTATAAGCGCCTTAACAATTTTTCAAGGCAATCTTTTATTGCCATAATTTTTTATAATCATAATTTTTTAATGCTAATATTTCATTGTAACTCGCTGTATAAAAGAAAAAGAAATGTAAGTTATTCTGTTTCAACTATGTAACTCCGCTCTGATAGTAAACACCCACACCAACTGGTTTCGGCTTCTCCCTATAATATTAGGTGCACATAGTAAAAGGGGTTCACAATCAGCGGAGGTTCTCCCACATATTCTCACTCTGTACATTTATTGACAGGGTGTTATACCACGGCTAGAATAGCTACCGTCGTCGTTTACGACTCTACTGCACCGCTCCAGCCTTCCTACTTGCCTAGGGCTTGGACGGAAACCACAACCCACTGACCCGGCTTTCCCCGATACTTACCAGAACCCCGGCGCTGCCTTACAGGGAAGACCCCGAAACAATGACACTGATGTCGACATCGATGTTGTTGTTGCCAATTAATTAAATTATATTTTTTAATATCGCAATTTGACGAGAGTCCAAATTAACATTGGCATCCTTGGTGTAATAAGACCACAACTGCAATGACAAGTTTAAAGTTTAAAGATTCTACGTATAGTCTTGTTAACTTGATTCATGTATAGTCTGTCTTTTTATTTGAAGATGGACTAAAAATCTACCTATATACCTATACCTCTGCAAAACACACACAAAATCCAGAAAGGACTTAGTACAGATAGAGAATAAATAGTTGATATCGTTGTTATTTTTTTTATCACGAGAACTGATTTCGTTATTGAACAAAATAATTACACATACTTAATGGTAGGTATGTTACATTAGAGCAAAAGAAATTTAAATTAATTAAATCAAATTTTAAATTTAAAGAAATTTAACACATTGATAACACAATTATTGTATCGGTTTTTGTCTTTGACTCGACAAGAAGAAGTTTAGATCAATTTGTTTATTTTCGTGTTTATTCTATTTACCAAACAAATAAGGGTATAATGGGTATCGTACTTTATGAAATTTCATTACAGACACAAATTTTGTGTGGAACAGAAAAAAATCGTGGAGTCGCCAATAGGACTAATAAATTTACAACCGGTTCTAGTACAGGAAGTATTGTATTATGTTTATACAGGGTGATAAAAAACCTCTGACGATTTTAAAGGAGCATACTGCATAATGGAAATAAAAATAAATGTTCGGTTTTTTTTTAAATACCTAACACATAAACAAGTTGTAACGTCTCAAAATT